ATGTTAAAAAAAAAAAGAAGATAGCAGGAAGGGAAAAATGAAGGGGGAAAAATTGGAGGGGGAGATGAACCATGAGAGACTATGGACTCTGAGAAACAAACTGAGGGTTCTAGAGGGGAGGGGGGTGGGGGATGGGTCAGCCTGGTGATGGGTATTAAAGAGGGCACATTCTGCGTGGAGCACTGGGTGTTATATGCAAACAATGAATCATGGAACTCTACATCAAACACTAACGATGTAATGTATGGTGATTAACATAACATAATAAAAAATAAATAAATAAAATTTAAAAAAATGTACTAAAGCAAAAAACTGTTAAAATTTAGATGACTCCAACAACTACTGATGGATAAAACAAAGTAACTATTAATTCAAATGGCAAAAAAACAAGATGGAAGAATATACTATATATAAATAATATGTGATAGGAGAGAAAATGAATGTCGGTAAGTATACATGTTTAGTTTTCGAAGGGTCATCACTAAAAGAGTGGAAATAAAGCATTTAAATTCTGTAGCGAGGGGAAATGAAATAGAAATGGAATAATCCCTCTCCCAAAAGAAATGTCTAAAAGTAAGCATAGGAAAAGAAGAGTAAATAGAACACAAAGGAACAAAGGCTTCCTCATTTATAGTGTGAATCTAAATTAACACGACCATTCAGAAGATTAATTGGCAGTATAGTAAAGATTAAGTCATATATACCCCATGACAAAACAATTCTATCCCAAGGTATATAGACTGGTGCAATACTTCTTCTTCTTTTTTTAAAAGATTATTTATTTATTTATTTATTTATTTATTTATTTATTTATTTCAGTGAGAGAAAGAGAGAGAGTGCAGGGTGAGGGGCAGAGGGAGAGGGAGAGAATCTCAAGCAGACTGCCCTGAGCAGGAGCCCGATGAGGGGCTTGATCTCATTACCCTGAGATCAGACCTGAGCTGAAACCAAGAGTCAGACGCCTAACCAACTGTGCTACTCAGGTGCTCCTGGAGGAATACTTCTTAAACTATCTATGGTCAAAACAACTTTTAAAATGTGTAATCCACTGCAGAACAATAATGTTGCAAAATACAAAATCGTATGTCAAATTGCCCTAAAGGTTTTCAACTACTTACTCTTGGTGGTTGTACTTAACTCATCATAGACAACTAGTAATTCATTGATTGACACTGATCCACACCACTCTTTGAGTACACTGCTTTATAGGAAGTCTAAAACACATACGTAAGGAGAAATACATCAGAGTAATCCCAGTAGCACTGCTTGTAATAAATAGCAAAAACAAACCAAACAAAACCAACTAGCTACATGTTCCCCAAAGAACAGCTAAATAAATTGTGGAATATCCATATATGTAATAATACTTAATGATGTGAATGAATGAGCTGGAAGTAAATGAATCAAAATGGATAAATACTTTAGGAAAACATAATATTGAGTGGAAAAAGCAATTTGCAGAACACATCACATGTGATAGTATTTTAAAATACAAAATGATGCTATTTTTGGGAGGAATTCACATATTTGTAGTGTATTATAAAAACATGCACGGGAGTGATAAGCACCTAATTCAGGATAGTTCCTAGTACTGGGTGGTGGAAAGGGAAGAAAATGCTATCGTTCTTGAACTTTGTATTGTTATACTTTTTCAGTTGAGTAGCAGTCTCAAGTGTGTTCATTATACTTATTATATCTTTTTTTCTCTATATCTTTTTGTATGTTTAATAATTTAAAGAGGAAAAATATAGAATGAACAAAATCTCTTAAATAGAGAGTTAAAAATTAAAGCAATCTGGTTTATTGTCAGCAACCATTCAGATCTGCCATTCTCGAACATACTTAAAGAATTTTGT